CCCACGCTGCGCCAACAAACCTGAAGAAGACGTATATCCAACATATTAGAAGTGTCCCTTTTACAGGGCTTGAGCATGCCATGTACGAAGCGCAATGGCTATGTGTACAGTCATCAATGATTGCAACACATTTATATTGAATCAGGTTAGGTATTCATCGACAAGCCCACTCTTACTCGCTATCGTCCTCTCCAGCACATACCTCCCCACCACTTCTCTCTTCAGCGCCGACATCAGTGTCGGAGCCAGCGCCCCCCTTTACAGTGCCGCTGCCAGCGCCTCCTTTCTCCGCACCGCTGCCTTCGGAACCAGCGCCCCCCCCTCCACAGTACCGCTGCCTTCGGAACCAGCGCCTCCCTCCACAGTACCGCTTCCAGCGCCTCCCTCCTCCGCACCGCTGCCTTCGGAACCAGCGCCTCCCTCCACAGTACCACTGCCAGCGCCTCCCTCCTCCGCGCCGCTGCCTTCTTCCGTATCACTAGCGGCGCGTCGGCGCTTCTTTGCCGGGCTGCGCATCTGGATTCCACGACCAACACGAGGGTGAGGCCGCTCCTCTCCGTTCTTCCACATGACATGCCAGATTTGGTGGCATGTCATGGTGTTTCCTGGGTAGTGGCCCGACCGGACTCGGTCACAGAGGTAGACACTGTGCATGAAGAAGTACAATTAGTCAAAGTACGATTGCATAGGCCACTGTCACACTTACTACTTGTTACCGTCGCTGCATGCCTCGCAATAGAACCTCGTTGCACTGCGCTGGCCGACCTTCTGCTTGCGAATCGAGCAGACCTTGCACTGGTGCTGTGGCCTCTTTCGAACACCTTTCCGGATCTGGGTTCACTCTGGAAACTCGGTCAATTTGTGGGCAGCTGATATCGAGGCCACATTTTGGTCGGAAGGTGCTGGAGAAAATGTCTGCATGATAATAAACGAGTCAGATACGATACAACATCTACCACATGATCGCCGGCAAACATGTAGTATATACCTCATCAATGAAGTCAGCCGAAGTGACCTGCAAAAGCTGCGCCTGTAACTCTGCTAGAAACTCGGCTGATCAGCACCTTCACCAACCATTTTCCGAGCCTCACGGAAAATGATATAGGCATTCACGAGTGCCATGTCGACTAGGCCTAAGAAGACCGTCTTCTAGTACTTTCGAAAGCGCACCGAGAGTTGCAGCGAATAGCGCTGTAGCTTTAGCTGGTCGTGGATATCAACCCCGCCCATCCAGCGATGATAGTCGCGCATCGCTGATGGGTAGGGTATGATTTCCTTTCTGCCGCCACGTAGATGCCGCCCTTCGATGGTACAGCAACAACAGCATAAGTTAGGAAGCCGTCGTCACTAAGACACGACCCAAAAGTAACTTACCGCAGGTTTCAATAGATGTACTGCTGCCAGTCGAGAGAAGGTAGACAGGAAGGCGGTCCCACCAAAGCATTACCTGTAGAAGATAGCAGCCCTTTGCGACGGCGATCGTGCTGGTCCCGCGGGGGATATGAGCTGGACGAGTTGCTGCTTTGGTCACGAGAGCTGGCGGAAACCCTTTCTTGTTTGGCTGTATAGTGCCAACCGTGTATACATTCCGAGCCAGGAGCTGCAAAGCTAGCTGGATCGACGTATACAGTAGAATCGATCCGTCACCACAGCGTGGTACACACCTTCTTCTGGGGCAGGAAGAACTTCATGCAGATTACGGATAACCGCTGCAGGGCCAGAGTTCGGGTCTGCTGAAAATCGGGTCGTCGATTGACCTCCGAGCTCGTCTGAGTGCTGGTTATCCCACAGAATACTTCCAGACTTCGATGCAGCACAATACAACATTCCAAACAATACAGAGGTAGACAAATACAACATGTGAGACTTAGCCAAAAAAATATATACTCCACGATGGAGGCCGTCAAACTACGTACCGTAGACAATACGCTGTGTCAGCACAGCATGTCATAAACAGTTTTGTGCCCCATTTGTGGGGCTTGTCCTTCATAAATTGCCTGGTCACGTTGTGACGACTTCTTGATGGAATCATGGCCTCGTCGAACGACACAACGGGAGGGACGTAGTATCCCCTTGCAAACGTCTGCTGTAGCGTGTCCACTACGGAGCGGACTTTCCAGGCGCGGTCCGTTTCAGCTCTCGGGTCTGTGTTGTCGGTAAAATGCAGGTTTTGCATGATGCGCTCAAAGCGCGACTTCCCCACGAAGTCGCCAAATGTGCCTTTTGGGACAGCGCCTACCCGGGTCGTTCCCCAGTGATCCGCAAAACGGCGCTTGTGAGGGACCAACATCCTCGCGATAAGGAGCCCGATACAATGCACAATGTGCTCTGGCTTTATGTCCTTGTGTTTCTTGGTCTCCCGCAACATCACAGCTTCCCTAGTCAACTCTGCATCATCAGCCACTCGCTTCGCATGTATTCTGGCGACCCGTCCATTGAGATGCTGATGATGGTATCGATTACTCTCAGTAGCTATCCGGCGCCAAAGCCGACGAGGCATGAAGAAGAAGAAGAGTTGTAATGGGGACTCGGCTACTTCAATCGCTGCCTCCGTTGGTTTATTGTCACCACTGTATAGACTCGGGTATGGTTCTGCTCGTTCAGGATGCGATGCGGTATCTAAACATCATACAACATATACCACATTAGTTTCATGTTGTATATACATCATCTCACAAACCTGACCAAACTCCCAGCCGTCTACTCGCATCTTCTTCAGAGCAGCACCATCCTGCGCGAGCGCTTGCATCTTGTCTTTTGTCAGCGTGTCCCAATTGTTTGTGGTTGTGTTCCAGTCACGTCGCAGCTTGCCGATAGCTGCCTGCAGACGTCGCTTTTCCAGCTCTTTTTGGGCTTTCCTCTTGTCACGATTGAGGAGCGCTGCACCGTCCAAACTACCATCACTATCACTTGAAAGAATTTTATCTGCATCTTCGCTGAGAAGGTCGTCGTCCGTGTGCTTTGCAGACAAGTCCTGCTCCTCAATAAACCAGTCATCCGAATCTTCGCTTTCGCCATCCAAGTCCGAGTTGAGAGCTCCATTATCATAATCTTCAACGGATGCATTCATAGCTGTGGCGGAAGACGTGAGTGGCTCAGTCGTATCCATACTCAAAACGCTGTCCCAAAGTAGTTCACATCACGCGTCAATATACATCTTCTATGCGTTCACACATGCAGTATATATATCATCGCAGAAGCTACCTGGCCATTTGATGTCTGGTTGGAGGCAGGGCTGTGGCTTCGAGTGTATTGGTGGTGATCTGAAACAACATAACATCAGATACAACATTTAAACAATTAGTTAATGTAGTATGTTCAGCATGTCGAGAATCACGTACTTTGATGCAGACAGCATACTCTCGTCGTCTGCGTCTGAATCCTCAACTGGTTCAGCAAGGTGCGGACTGGCGGTTTCTTCTGCTTCTTCGCTGCGGGAGACCTTGACGATTCCTTCCTCCTTGCTGCTGCTAGTGCTTTCAGCGCTGATTGGCGCGCTTCAGCCCCGCTGCGTTTTTCGTCGACCACGTGCGCACGTTCCCTTGCTTTCTCGGCATCACGTCGTGCAGATATAGACTCCACACGGGCTACAGCTTCCATTTCTTTGAACGCGTTCCTTTCCTTCGCCATAGCTTCGCGCTGGGCCTTGGTCATCTTCTTCTTCCCATTTTCAGGTTTTTTCTCCGCTTTGGCCTTAGCTGCGAGACGAGCTGCCCGCAGCTTCTTTGCCGCTGCAATGTACGACGCCGTCTTTCCAACAGGTGGTCGGCTCGGAAGCGCCGGAATGGATTGCCCACGAGTCATAGCCGTCGTCGTCTGCCTTACCTTCGTCGCGGCCACCGTAGTCGTCTGCGTTGCCCCCACGGCCTCGTTCCCGAAGTCAGCATCCGTCTCCCTCTCTCCGTTCAGGTATGCTGTGTGTTGGGCAGTCAAGCGCACCCGATCCTCCGAGCTTTTGCCTTCCAGGCGGGCGAGGAACGCTTCTGACTCGCGACGCGTTTTGCGTCGGCCAACCATCTCTGGTCCCCGTTGCTTTTTCTCGAATGTGTGAAATCAGTGGATTACACGAGGCGAGAGTCAGCAACCTTTGTGACAAATCGGAGGAGTTTTGTGTGCGTGTTCTGTGCATTTTTCAGCCTAACCCTGTGCATTTCACTGTCTTTAACATGTTGTATATACAACATGTGGAAAAACAGGACCTGGCGCCCCTTTTGGTCACATGTCGTCAAACAACCTATAAGTGCGGGGGGGGTTAAAACGAAACAATGAATATGTAAAATATTGTACTAGTATTAATACATAGTGAATCTAAGTAAGTTTAAGCGTGATAGGGATACCTGCCACAGTTCGAATACACGCAAGCGAAACGATGGACGAGAAACTGATTCCAAAGCGCTCAAATGGCCCAAATGAGACACTTCGAGACTCTTTCGTGGCTGTTGAATCACCCCAGATCGATGCCGACCACGAACCGGGTCCGACACTTATCGAGGAAGTTCGTGAGCTTCTCAAGCTAATTTTACCCGTGGCAAGCCAAGAACTGAGCTTTAAGAATACAGTACTAAAAACTTGTATCACTTGTTGCGAGCTCAGACGGGAACCACCGTTCTCGAATTTCTTCCCGGATTCGTATCAATTCTATTGGCTGGCAACATGGGAGGACCGAGCTCGCAGAACTACGTGGATGCTGCAACGATCTCTGTCATGGTACGTAATGATGTGGTTTGTGTATAAGTAACGTGGTCTGATCGCCATGAAGCTCTTATACGTCACAGCACAATCGCTCGGACTGGGTCTTGCGTCCGCCCTAGACACACTTTGTTCTCAAGCCTATGGCGCCGAGCCGATTGACAAAATTGGCATCTACTTCCAGACTGGCGTGGTTATTCTCTCTGTGGCTCTCATCCCTATGCTTATCGTCAATTCGTTCGCGGAACCTATTCTCAATTTACTCGGCCAACACACGGACGTGACATACTTGACACGACTTTTCTCGTCTGATGCTACCTGGACTCCCGTTTCTCTTCTTCTACGAGCTCGTGCGGAAGGTGTTGCAAAGTCAAAATATTATCAAGCCGCTGGTCCTCATCGCAGTGGTCGGAAATCTCGTCAACATCGGGGCCTGGCGTATCACACGACTTTGGGGTTTAACGGCGTCGCTGTCGCTCGATCATTGGGTAACAATCACACTCACACTTTTGCTGATACCGTATTTTATCGCACCAACTTCGGCAATGGTGGGGTCACGGCCGGAATCTCAAGGCCGCCATGACCAATGTAAACTTTTTCGTACAAATTGGTTGTCCGGGTAGGATAACGGTGGCAGTCGAGGTTTGGTCCTTTGAAATTCTGGCAACTCCGGCAGGTAATCTACCGGAAAGCGTCTTGGCTCTGTCAACGCATGCTGTGCTGACGAACGTCAACGTTACGCTCTACACTGCGTTCTACGGTATCGCAGTCGCTGCTAGTATTCGTGTGGGTAATTGTCTTGGTGCTGAGCAACCTAAGAAGGCGAAGATGGCTTGCTACTTGTCCCTCGGTATAACTTTGAGGTGTTAAAAGTATTCGCTGTGCTGCTCTTTAGTCGAAGTGACTACACACCTCGTCTGTTCCTTGACGACGACGAGAGTATCGACCTTGCTTCGAAGATCATGGCAATGTGGTCGCCACTTGATATCGCCACCGGTCTCAATGCGGTCATACATGTACAAGGGGTATACAGAGGGTCAGGCAAACAGAAGCCTGCTGCTATCGCCAACGTGATAGGCTACTATGGTGGAGGCATCTCGCTTGGAGCAATTGCTGCTGACGTGGGCGTTGAAGGTTTGTGGTGGGGGAATCGGTTTTTGGCATTGCTGCGACCTGGCTATCGCTGACATGTCTGATGAACTACTGGCGCTGGGACCGACTCGCGAGTGAAGCACGTCGATGTACTGCTCAGTAATGGCATATACAGTACATTTACTATTGTAGTAAATTTCATCTAGACCTCTGGTTGGCGAGCTACAGCCCGGAGTTGAAAGCTAGCAATCAGCGTTGTTATGCGCTTGAAAATATGCACAATAGAGCTTAACATGTAGTTTTAACATGCACTGCTAATAGCAATCCTTTGTTTGAGTTAAAACATATACATGTATGTGCTACAGTAATCATCACCACACGTGTACGTATGTCAATGTTCGCGTTCCGTTCGCATTTTATCCAGGTTACGAGTTATCGCTTGCGTCAGCTTGATAGAGCCAAAAATGCCACCAGATACCATCCCGAGGCCGAGCACAACTAGTAGAGCTTTTTCCCTTTTGGGAAGAGGCTTGTGGTTCTCCACAGCATATAAAATCTGTGCTGACTGACCTGAAGGCGTTGAATGCAACAGATTCGACATAGCAGCGTAATTCGGTACAGTTCTCTCTTCATCTTTCACATTCTGACCTCTCAAATTGCGAACAAAGTCGGTAAGCTTGGTGTCTGACTTGGTATCTGCACGGTTGGTCAGGGCAGTGTCTTCGGCGTCTGCGAAGACCATATAGATTTCGAGAAAAGTAACCACGAGCACTACCACGGTCAAAGTAGATCGCATGCTTGATCGTCAAAGGAGCTCGATATGCTTGAGGGAATTTCTTAAAATGGTTTGCTGTCAGATAGGATACTGATGAAGGCTCGTGAGGTAATACACTTTTGATTGCCAAAATAGAAACTGATAAACTTAAAACTGCAATAAAAACCTTTCCTTCTTACATCCATTGAATATTTATAAATGACCTATTAGGCTGGCGCTGTTTCATAAGCAATTGTCCTTCAAATCGATTTGTATCGCTAATAATGATCAAAACCTCACTTCTAATTTCCTTCTAGAAACTAAATAAAGACTGCACTAAGCGTAATCTCTCTGTTCGTAAGATACAAGTACCGTGCAGTAAGAGATATCTCTGTAGTACGTGTATGAGATCTCAAATTTACCGTAAAAATAAAAGTAGAAATGCCAATACAAAAAAAAAAAAAATATTGTGTTTGAGCACACCTTGCATGGAAGGTCACACAATTCAATACAGTACCAGCTTACAATTATTAAGATCAAATGATTGGATGAAAGTCGAATTATAAAACAGTAAGATAGCAGGTTTTAGTCCATATGCTCCGGCTATGACGGACCACCACGCGGCATGACTTGACGCGGAATGGGACTTCCGACAGCTCTGTGAGTGTTTGCTGTTCCATATTTAAGTCTCTTCATAACACCACATAAGGTGATAGAAACTTTCTTAAGCATTTGAATTTAAAGGGATATATTTCGAAGTCGAAATCGGGTGGGGCTGTTTCATTTTAGAATAAGCTGAGCACAAATAAAATAATTATCAAGCCTAGCCCTTAGCGGCAACCGCGAAGATTTCATTGGCTTTGAAGTTCAAAGCCAATGTAATCTTCGCAGCTGCCGCTAAGGGCTAGGCTAGAATATCTTCAAAGTTTGAAGTTATTATCGGATTATCTAAATCATAGAGCCATAAGGGCGATCTGTGAATAAGTTTTTGGGCTCTTTGTGAAATTTCTGCCTCGCTTTTACCAGTACAGTGGTCACGGTAATTAATCTAAGTTGATAAATAATCTCATACACTAAATATTCTCACTCAAGTTTGTTGAGAATAATTCACGTGAACAAACTTTTTCAGAGATCATTATTAATCTCAGTTGTGGGTGATATCTTGTACTCACTATCGGGCTTGCTTATGATGCAGTGGTTAATGATCGCCCTAGCCAATCGCTGCATTGTGAGTTTAAGTCCCGCAGCAACAGTGCATCA